ATCCACATCCAACACATGATCCACTGCTCACAGCACCAGTGTCCCAGGAAAGGCTTTGCTAAAAGTGTGCACCAAGCTCTGCTGAAAACCACCCCCTCCAAAAGGCTTCATGTTAGCAGTTATGGGAGAAACCAATCCCATTAAAAACAACACAACGGAAACCAACCTTCAAAATAAGCTCTTGAGTGTCTCTGGCTGCATGCCTCTATCCTGGAGCACCACCAACCAGACATTAACATATAGATGTTAATTCACAGGCAGACAGCTTTCAGAAGAAACTACATCTTGCAAATGATCAAGGTGACACCAACTCTCCATCACACTGTATGTATGAGACTGAAAGCTTTGCTACCCAGACTCTAGAAAAAAACCCCCACCAGATTACTATGAATTAAGAACTAAAGACTAATACATGCATCCCCCTCAGGTGAGATCAAACAGCTATAAAGGGAGAGGGAGAAACAATCACAACCACAGGCAGTGACTAAAAGTGATAAACACTAGAGATGAAGTTGGGTGAGATCAGCAGCCCAGAGTGTCTTTAAAGACCTGAGGTAACAGTGATGCACAGCAGACAATGGCTAGAAACATACTTATGAAAAGGCAAATTTTGGCTACATAATTCAGGGGTGAAAAAACACACTGCTGTGCAATTTCTGTTGAAAAGGTCGTATTTTATCCCAAACTTGCCTGTACAAGCACAGCCTAGGCTTCTCACCCACACACTAGTGTGAAAAGGCTTTGGAATCACTGCGCCACTGTTGCTTCTCAGCCCTATCCTCCCCAAGAGCTACAGCGAGATCCATTAAGAGTTAATATGATAAACAACATGAGACTGCTTAGAACAACCAGACAGTCACCAAGATAAAAATCTCTGGAAAAAATAAATGCTGTGTCTGGCTTAATCCTGTGCCAGGACTGCTGATGGTGTTTGAAGCTATTACAATGTTCATTCTGCACACAGACAGCAGTGATTGGTAGCAACAGGCAACCCAGTTGGATGGCCCACAGTAAGGTGAGAAACCAGATAGTTGTTCTTTAGCAAATGCAGGAATCATACAAGAGGCTTTAATCATCATCACCATTACACCTTTGTGATAAATCCAGGAAGATGAGATTTAACCCCACATAAATCTGTGCACACAGTGTGCTTTGCATCTGCGTCAAACTCTCTTGTCCTGTCCACAAATAAATATATCCTAAATATTAGGGGAGCTCACATAAGCAGGAAACAACCAGGGCGGCTACTTGAAAAGAGAAATGTTTCCTCAGAGTCCATGCCCTGATCACAGCAGGTCCTAAACACACAGCTTAAGTCTTCCAAGCACCATCAAAAGAGTGCAGTTCCCAAGAGAAAACTCTACATTTCAGCTGCAGGCCCAGATATTAAGGTTAAGGAGATGCTTGTAAAGCCTCCAAACCCATTTATTTTCTTCATCTTTTCAGTTTCTATTTCTGCAACCTCTACCTCTTCTTCATACCACGTTCCATTTTCTCACGTTTGTTTGCCATTCCTTCCACCAAAAAACAAATCCTCTTAAAGAAAAAGCTAATGGGATTTAAACTTTTGCTTCATTTTTCTCCAGCAACACTGACAGACAGTTAATTTTTACTTGTATTTATTTGCTGTTAGAAGTTTTATCACCATTGAAGGAGATGATGAAGTCTGTAGTGGCAGCACCACCATCCTTAGGCTGCTGGAGGAGGAATTATCCAGCAGCAAAGCACCTACTGAGAGACAGCAGGGATCAGGTATGTGCTGACAGGAGAGCACCAGCGATGCTCCTCAACTTCTCAGTTAATAGCCACTTGCACCAGCTGTTCATTTGCTACTGAACGTATCAGTCAAGCCTCCACAGGTTGTTTAACTTAGAACAAATACAGCTTTTAGAGATGACACTTGAGGCACGGCGAGTGTTGGAATTACAGCCCATGTATACTAAAGAATTAAAGTTTTTTAAGTAGAAATCACCAAACAGGTTCCAATGAAGAGAAAGGGGGAAAAAAAGCCAGAAATGCACCTCTCCTCTACCTCCCCCTGCCCACTACAAAACCAAACTCAAAGCACTTTTAAGTCCCAGAGCACTGCCATTTCACTGTGTTCTCAACAAGAAAAGCATGTTTTCTTATGAACTACCATAATTCTAGCAACTTGAGCTGTAATTTGGCAGTCTGCCTTGTACAAAACCAAGTTCTGAGCTACACATATCCTATAAACTTCCTGATATCCACTTATCTCAGACACACTGTTATGAGGAAAGAGACTTCAGTACTAAAAATTAAGTAGCAGCAATGAGAACAGTAGCTCCTGTCCTGAGAGGGAACCACAACTACGAAAGGAGTCATGCTCGAAACATTGACACTTATCAATTGCAAAACAATTTAGTGTTGTTTGCAGTTTATTTGCAGACTTGCAACTGTCTATTGCACTGGGGTCTTTTGAGATCAAATCTACCAAAAAATATATAGAATCAGAATGGTTTGGGTTGGAAAGGACGTTAAAGACCACCTAGTTCCAATGCCCCCGCTATGGGCGGGAACACCTTCCATGAGACCAGGTTGCTCAAAGCCCCATCCAACCTGGTCTAGAGGAAGGTGTCCCTGCCCATAGCAGGGGCATTGGAACTAGATGATCTTTAGGTCTAGTTTTTTCACAACTTTACTCAGTCCTCCTGTTTTATGGCTCCAGCATGCTAAAACTACATGTTGGTAAGGACCAGGTCATCCAGCAAGGCCCGGCACAGGCTTTCATCTAACTTAACATAACCTATAGAGCTCTGCTGTGTGCCATTTGGACTGGACACCTTGTTTGTCTAGTAGGGTTTGTAAAGCTAGCACCTGAGGTCACAAAGTTCAAACAGTTTCTCTAGCCTTGATCACCAGCAGTCCAGAACTGACATCCTTATGTTACCATATAAACCTATTTGTCACCAGGGATTCAAATGAACAATAATCAAGTGGCCAGATTAAGAAGGAAACTGCAAACACCTCCATCTGCCATGGAGGAAAATTCATCAGGCATATAGTAAATAAAAGGAAAGAGGAAAGCCTAAGTGAAATACTCCATATATTTTGAAGCACATTTTTTATCACCCATTCCATCACAAACCTATGCAATCAAGGAGATTTCCGGTTGGAGTTTGGGGATTTTTTTGTTTTCCAGGCTTTTAGTTTTACTAGCTGTTACTTAAGGATAGCAATGAAAGATCGTGACCCCATTTCCACTGCTCCAGAGTGTGCAAGGCTCTCTTTGATGTTTCTAATGTCATGTAGCCTCATGGATCATATCACCTTTCCCATGAAAGCAGAAGGATTCTCTTTCTCCACTACACTGCATTCTCCATTACATGTACAAACACCACTTCCTGCTATTCTTCCAACTGTGAAAAATAGCTGCTTGTATCACATAGAAAGCCAGCAGCCTTGTTTGTTAACCAGCTCACTTGCTTTAAGTTGTTGGTATCTTTAAACATGCTTAAACGTGTCTCTTCCTGATAAACAAAATTAAGTTCCCCAGGAATTTTCCAGAAAAAATAGTTCTCACCTTTGCATTCCCAACATCAGCTAGAAATGGTACAATAAATTAGCTTCCTAGGCATATGTAGCTCTTTAATGAATTCTGTGTAGTACTGAAAAACTACTACAGGGTTAGTATGACAGAAATCACTACTGGGTTAAGACAGAAAGTCATATGGCTCCTTTTCATCCAAAATCAATACATTAAAGCCTAACCAGATGTGCTCATTTGAGAAAGACCGGAACTAGTAAACTCACAGCCATATTTTCTAAGTAATGGTAATCTCATAAATCTATACCTTTTTTAACAAGCTTTTCCACTGCAGGAATCAAAGGCTGTTCCAGAAACAAAAAACCCCATGGAAGATATCTAGTCTCTTCCCAGAGATCCACACAACGTAGCAGGACAGTGTTTCCTCCTTGGAGGTCCCTTTATTTATTTTATTTTCTCTCAACAGCCATGTACAAAATGTTGATAAAGTCAAAGGATGAATTTAATCTCCCGTTCTCACAGTTTTTAGGTACAAAGAAGCTTCCTGGAAAAGTTTATACATTTAGGGATGTCTGGACCCGCTGGATTCTCAAAACAAGAGAGTGCCAAGTAATATCCATTGAATTTAGGTCACACTTATCTATGGGAATATGAAAGGAGGATATGCAACTCGCCACAAAACCAAACTTCACACTGCACTGGTGATACACACACTAGTGTTTGTAAGGTATGTGTTGTTGAAAAGATCCAATTCTTTCCTATATAATTTTAAAATCCATTCTATAAGTTTCCTAGCTGAGAAGAAAACTATTGTGCTTACTTTGCGAACAGAATGGCACCTGAGGGACATCTCTTCAACAACACTTGCTAAGGCAAGATAACTACCGTCCTAGCAGACCCTGGACAAACACCCAGGAAGAACAGACCCTTCCTATGTCCCAGCTTGTCTGGAAAGTGCTCCTGTATCCCCAGGACCATAACACACGTTAAATTAAGTTACTCCACTGCTATTTTCAAGCCTAGATAAAACCCAGGGTGCTCTTCAAGTCCAAGAGCCCAGTTGCTTCAGGACAACCCCCAGGTTACCCTGCCATTCCCACACAGATTGCATATCAGCTCCTTGTGCAGTCAGACCTTACACAAAACTAAACCTGCTGCTCCTGCCAAAACAAAACTTCACCTCCTTATTTTGAGTATAACAAGTGTAGCAAAAACCAAGACAAAAGTGAAAAGAAATCCCCCACAACTGCGCCTGATCAGAAGTAAATCAAATACATATTCCTGACGCCAGGTCTTGAAGGCCCAGTGGTGCTCAGACTGACAAATCATGCCAAGCACAAAGTTCTGAGCTTCCACACAAAAAAACTTCATCCACCTGTCAAGAAAACAAAGAACATCCAAAGCCAAACCGTGCCACTTTATTTGGTTGAATGCTTAAAAAAGAGTGGAATTGCAGTGAGGACATCGTAAGTAAGGACAGGAATGAACTGACCTTGACGTATGCTAGGTAATGCTCGCACTTTTCCTGCATGTATGTCAGTTCTAACTTCTCTGTGATCTGCCCCGCTGTCTCTCCAGAAGTCACAAAATAAACTCTGGGTTGCTGGCTTTTTTCCTTCTTTGCCACATCAGCAGTCAAGTTATAATTCAAACCTGGTTTAAAAAGGAAGAAGAAAACAGAGGATGTCAGTGAACAATAGTTATTTTCTAAGCACCTATGAATGGATCCTGTTGCCCCCAGGGCATATGTGCTTCAGGAAAGGTCAACCCTTGAAGGCCCTCAATCACTAAGTTTCCTGTGGCAGCACAAAACCAAATCCAATTACTAATGTACTTCCAAGTTTTGTGTTGCTACGTTCCCCAGCCTATCCTTTCCCATAGGAAATGATGTATTAAAAATAAATCTAGGCATGCACACTTAATGAAAATAAAGAAACAAAAGATACTTAAACTATGCTGAAAAAACAAGAAATACAACAAGAACAACAACAACAGCAGCAGCCTCAAGCTTCGTATTCCTTCTAAAACAGCACAAACCAAGCAAATTTCTACCAGGATGTGGCACTTTCTGACAATTACTTTTGTTGATTTGCAGTCATCTTAGCATTCACACCATAACTAGAGGTTGCTGCCTTGCAATCAGCATCCCCCTTTTAAATGTTACACATCCCCAGCAGTTTATAGAAGACATACCCAGAGACTAATGAGCTGTATCTCTGTAAATCCTGTTTCCTGCTCTTCTATAGGATAAGTAATTTAACACAAGCAGTTGTTTTGCAACTAGATGTATGAGTCCAAGAGAAAACTTACTTGTTACCTGAAGTAATTATACAGCAACTGATTAATCCAAGCTGAGTATTCCTTTCTTTTTGGCAAATGCAACAACAGGAGGAGCAATGAAACTGAACAGAAACATGAACATTCTGCTGCTTTCTACTGACAAGAGAAGCACAAGCAAGGTCCTTTCACTCATCACCTATATTGATTTCAGCTGTTATCAAGGCAATAATGGCAATACCATGAGATTGGCTCACTCTAAATGGCTTAATTAGAAGCTAATCCTCCTAGAAGACAGCTAGCACCAGCTCCTGTGCTGCTTTGTTAAATATGTAGAATGTTTGCCAAATTATGGCTTTGGCTTTTGTTTAAGTTTTAAGTCCTAAATGATTGATACCATATAAGATGCTGCCCATAAATGTAAACTTTTTTTTAAGCTAGAATGTTATAAATAGTCAGTGTAAATGTTAAACATTCCTGGACTGAGGTCTTCTGTAACAGATTTCAGCAAGAAGCCTGTGCTGTGTTTTGGTGTGGTTTTACTTGGTTTGGTGGTAGTGGGTTTGAGGTTGTTTTTTTCCAACCAGTTCAAATCCTAATCTCTCTAAATTAACACTGCTACCAATGCTGTCACCTCCAGTCATTCCTCCACCAAACTTTCAGTACTTTGAAGAATTTATTTAATGATATTGTAAACCTTGGTGCAGAAGTCTCTGTAAACATTCATAATTCACATAATTCAAAATGACCTTGCTTCCACCTCCAGCGTGCTGCATCCTGATGAAAAACCCACTCAAGTTCACACACACCCACCAGAGACATCCCCTCGGTAGCAAGAAAAGACACAGCTGAGGAATCAGCCTAACTACCATCGCAGGGCTCCACCTGAACTTTTTTTGCTTGCTGCTGGCAGAATAACTTCCTTAGAAAGATAACACTTAAAGTGCTTCAAACAAGCTCAGCAGCACAACTCCCACTGAAGCGGCGTTTACTCAGACCCACTGAAGAGCACCACCTATACAGACACACAGGGTTCAGCCTATTTAAAACCCCAGCAGTCTCTTTTCTTGTTCCTTTTTTAACGTGGGCACATCCCACACCCATCCCCACTTGTCTCCCGCCCGCTTTCAAGACCTCACATGCACGCACACATGCTGAGATCTGCACCAGACAACAAAACCCGTTAGCAAACCCGGACCCTGCGTAGGCAGAGGTGAAATCCCCGTGGGAAGACACAGCCCTCTTCCCAGGACGATGTATTACTGACGCTGAACAATTCCTTGTGGCAGGCAGGGAGACGCATCCCTGCGCGAGGCCCGTAGCAGTCATCTGAGCCAAGGCACCCCAGCTACCACCCCTCCGAAACAGTAGTGATGTTTTCAATCAGGCAGCGAAGTTCCCATCCTCCCCCCCCCGCCTCCCCTTTATTTTGACAACTTGTTTCTATGTTATATCCAGTGATGTCACATCAGTGGAAAAACTGAAATACCGTGAGTAAGGATTTTTTCTTTTAACCTTCCTTCCAAAAAGCAGCCAGGGAGGGGAGATAACTCACCAAACTTAGCACTGCTGGCAGTGTAAGTTCCTCCTGCTTGCTCCAGCAAGAGATTGGGAGGCAAGTAAATTAACTCTTCCAGGTAATGCCTCCAAATATTTGCCCAGCAGCTTTAAAGCAGTCTGGTTAGAAATGTTTCTGGGCATGTGCCCACCTAAACTTCACACAATCAGTATGAAACTCTGTCATGAGCTCAGATGAAGGGCTTGATTCTTCTGATAACAACCATTCCCTTTTGGTAACCAAAATAAAATGCCTACAAGCTTTGATAGCAGCTCCCTCTGAGAAAATTTTGGTCATATCTACAAGAGGACCACAAGTCAGCAGATCAGGTGAGTTACTCCAGACAGTAACAGATGCACCAAGTAATCAGCAGCAGACATTTCATGATGGGTTTTCACCCTAAGTAGCACATCCGTACTCACAATGCAAGACTCCTCCCCTCACAGGCTGAAGGGAGAAGCCTGGAGGAGAAAATGCTCCAGGGAGACCTTAGAGCAGCTCCAGTGCCTAAAGGGGTTACAAGAAACCTGGAGAGGGGCTTTGGACAAGGGCCTGTAGGGACAGGACAAGGGGAATGGCTTTAACTGACAGAGGGGAGATTGAGAACAGATCTTAGCCAGAAGAGAGTGCTGAGGCGCTGGCACAGGGTGCCCAGAGAAGCTGTGGCTGCCCTATCCCTGGCAGTGTTCTGGACACAGGGGCTTGGAGCAACCTGCTCTAGCGGAAGGTGTCCCTGCCCGTGGCAGGGGTTGGAACTGGATGATCTTAAGGTCCCTTCCAACCCAAACCAGCCTGGCATTTTATGAAGGCAGCCTTGAAGCAGAGAGAAATGAGGAGAGATCGAAATAGGGCAGCAGTATCCCATGAGCTAAAATGGAAATCACAGCTGGCTGTGTTAATGGAGGGGTTACACACCCTGGGCCAGCCGGCACATCCCTTCATCGCCCACTCAGATGATGCTACAGCACAGAAAAAGCAGGGAGCAAAATGCTCA